TCATCTTTAGATCTTTTATGAACACTTCGCTTTAGACAATCATCAACAACTCCAGTTATCTCAGCAATGTACACCTGTAGAAAAAAAAAAAAAATTAAAACCATTATTTTAAACTAAAAAGGTATCAGGTACTATCATATTTGGCCCAGCACAGATAATAAAATGTGACAGATAATAAAATGTCACTAACAACAGTTCACAATAGTACAAATAACATCAGAAGTTATCTACCTTTCCGTTAATTATATCATTTCTATTTATTTTTCTTTAAAAGATTTAGAAAACCCTAGAAAAGCTTATAGTTTGCCTAAAGTACAGAAGAACTGAAATTATGATTTATGCATGATTATTATGATTTATGCATAAAATGAAGGAACGAAAATAAATAACAACAAAAACAATGTTGTGGCAAAGTGGAAATTTAAAGAGACAACATTTGTACACATCTAAACAGATCAGGAACGAAACAAAAGGGCATATTACTCTACTATAATTTTTATAAACATCAGAACTTTGTCAATGATTGATAAGGATGGCGTTACTCGCATCCAAGTCAAAACATAGCAACAAAAAAAGCAATGATAATAACTGTAGTAACAGCAAGATGAGTACATTTTTAAAAACAAATAAATTATGTCAAGAACCTAAAATAATTTTATTTACTATCAATTTTACATAAAAATTTTGACACATAAAATCCAGTGTAAATAATAAATGAGAAAATAATTTGTATCAAAAAAGAAATTTTTAAAAGTTAATTTTATAATAAAAAGATGATTAAAGTGTTGGAAGTTTTTTTTCATCACAATGCATACAAAGCTCTTGCTCCATTAACAGATGATAGAAAATACAATCCTTTTAATATATCTGAGTTTTATGAGATGATAAATTAAGCTTCCTATTACATATTTTTAGTAGAGCATGTCCATATTACTCTACTTTAAGTAAAAAAGTTTGTAACGAAAGTAAAAAAAAAAATACACATACAAATATACATATAGGAATTTTTTAACCTTTTTCAGACCTTTTAACCAGACACATCAATGAAAACACTGATGTGTCTGGTAAAAAAGTTTGAAAATCTTTTTATGGATTGAGTTAGAGACTACTCGGTGTGGTTAAGGCAATTTACAAATTACTTGAATTCTTTTATTTGAAATTAGCATGATTTTATCAGCGTATTATGTCCAAACAAGAGCTTTAGATGTTATAAATTTTAATATTTAAAGAAACATTTCTTTTTTATATATAATTTTTGAAACATTTTTACTACCCCTAATAGTGAATCTAAAGAACACAATTTTGGAGTATTAAAATCACTCATCGGCGTTAAAATGAACTTTAAAAAAGTTAAATTCTTTTAAATAAGTGCCTTAACCAGCTATAGATCCTAATTCTAATCGGTACTTACGTATATTCACTATATATAGTTGTCAAAATACAACATTTCTATCAATTTTCACAATAAATACTAGAATTCTCACCAAGAAAGAGCCTAAAAATTAAGAAAAATTGCCAATAAACGATCAGAACAGATTACATTATTAAACTTTGGTGTTCATTTCGTATCTTATTCAAATTTGGACAAGAGATCGTAATTTTAAGAAGATTTTTTTAAAAAAAAAAGAATCTTTGGTCTGGGTTTTTCTGCTACAAACTTATTTTATGATACCACAAAATTTATCATTTAAATATTTTTTGTCTTTTTATAATTCACAGACCTGATCATTTAACGGAAATATATTGTAGTCAACAAAATATCATACAAATCCTATAATATTTTAAAATTGCCTTAACTACACTGAGTAACAATTTGTGTGATAGCCACAAATTTGAAACTCCAAACTTATAAATATCAAAATGAAAATAATGCAAGTAAAGGTTCTTATGAGTAAATTTGTAAACATGACTGTTAGCTCAAGAAAAGGAAAAAAAAAAACGCTTCAGTTTTTTCTGTATTAAAATAAAAACAGGTTAAACAGTAAACCATACCTTTTTCGTATTTAATTTAAAAATAGAAAATGGTATGATCTACTGATATTTTTTTCAAGAGATTTTTAGAGATCATAAACAAATAGATGACAAGATCATAAACAAATTGACAAGAAATTTTTATATTATTAAAGCAGGAGAGGACCTAGAACAAAACTTTGAGAAATATCAAGATCCTGGTTTATGACCTCTTTTCAAATTTAACCTTAAATATGTATTATGATAGTTGGAAATAAAATGAAATTTCAATGAGGTGTATAAAATAAAGTATTTTTTAATTGAAAATGCTTTTTAAATGCTTTTTAATTAAAAACTCAATTTACCTCAAAACCTTTATGCTTGGCATCACTCCAAAATTGATCAAAATGTGCTGTCTAAAAATAAGAAGAGTATAATGTTTAAAAGACGTTTTATATGAATATGTTTAAAAATATTATCTATCTTCTTTTAATTATCTTCAATTAAGTTCATTCAAAATATTTTTATAAATCAAGCTTAGATGATAGCAAGCATTTCTTTATCAAATTTCAAAAACTGATGATGCCTTTTTTGCAAACTAAAAAATAATGTTAATACAGTATTTTATATTTTTTTAAAACTTTATTTTGACATTATTGTCTGATGAAGTTGTCTAGAAGTTTCAAAATGTAACAAATAAAAATAAATATTAGTATTAAGTAAAAAGAAATTACAACATAAATGAACAACGTCAATATTACAATATGCAAACATCCTTAAACAAATAACTATTATAGTTGCATTGGAGCATTAAGTACAAAATAAGTTTAAAAAATGTTAAATCATTTACAAATAGTATGAATGGATATGTTACAAGCATCAACCTAAAGGTTCATAATTAGTAAGTAAACCATCTTGAAGTATGTTTATTAAAATGTCTTAAAGTAATGTTTATCAACATTTTTAGCAGCTTCATTGCTCATACCCTATATGTAACTGGTTTTAAAATTGAACCAAAAAGATTATTTTAAAACTAATTTGACCTCTTAAACAAAAATAAATAAACATACTTTGTTATTAATAGCATCAACAATAACCACTGGAAAAAATCCATCTGCTAAAGTCTTATTGAATGCTTTAAGTAAACTGGAGCGATAAGTTTCTTCCATATTGGCTTCATAAACATATTCTTGTTTCTATAATTAAAAGTATGCAAATGTTATAAACTAGATCATCAATTTATAAGTTGTTATCTATGGTTTAACATAGATGATGAATTTATAAGTTATCTATGGTTTAACATAGATAATGATTATAAACTACACTATCAACTCATAAGTTTTTATCTATACCTCAACACTTTTTTTAAAACCAATAAATTTAATACTTTAAATAATTTTATATATAAAAAAAAAAACCTTCACAAGTTTAGTTTTCTTATCTGGTCCTATTTCTGTTTTTTCTACTTCTTGCATAAAATAATCATCCAAAACCAAAATACGCGGGGCTGGAGCACCATAATATGACTCTTTATCCTGTTTTCAATTTAATTTAATTAAATATAAAAAAGTAAAAAGCAATAACATCGAATACAATAATAAAAAAAAACCTTAATAAGTTTTGCTACAAAAGATTTTCCTGCTCCAGGGATTCCACGGAGTATTATTACTATCTGAAATTAAAACAAATGTCATTATATATATATATATATATATATATATATATATATATATATATATATATATATATATATATATATATATGTAGTTTTTTTTTTTTTTGAAAGTATATAAAGAAAACAAAATCTATAAATGTGTGTAAACATACATATATACATATATCTACTGCTATATATACTACTGCAAATTTAGGTCAAAATAACACTAAAACACTTGCTGACTTTAATTTTCAAAACAATGTCTTTAGCAAGACATTTTTTCAAACTAAGAAAAAATAATAATTAATTTTTTCCTCCATTTTCAATTTCCTTTATACATAGATATTGCCTGCCTATAATGTAATGATCATAAAAGTCATGTACATAATATAACATAAATATGTTTTTATTGATATAAGTGTGTGTCCATACTAAATATTACTCACATTTCTGGGACGTTTATCTCTTCCAGGTCTATCCAAAATATCTGCAGCAGAAAGAACCTCAGGTTTAAGTTCAATTTCAGGAACACCAGAACCTTTTTTTGAATCTCTAAAAGATCTTAGATCGTCATTGTCTTTTTCATATAGCATCTGATAATCCCGAAAATCATCTCTATTATTTCTATCAAGGTCTCTCTCATCAAATCTTTTCATATGTGTTGAGGGTTCTCTATAACCATGTCTGTCTACTTTGTTTGGTTCATAATTATCAATGGAGCGATCATATAAACGATCTCTTGGTTGATTAAATCTAAAATCATCTTCTCTTGACGAATTATATCTTTCTCTTTCAGAAAAATCTTTTTGTCTATCATAAAACTCATCAGAGAAATCCACATCAGCTGTATATCGATACCTGTCATCAGGAATTCTACGCATTTCAAGTCTGTCATTTATTTCACGCGGTCTTTCATTTTCAGATAGAAAGTCATAATCTGAAACATTTCGTGGGAGATCTCTTTGATACAAAGTATGCGCATGAGGTCCATGATCACCAAAACGATCAATATGTTTTAGTTCTGGTTCAATCATCCTATCAAAATGAATGCCTCTATCAAACTTTTGTTCAATGTGAAAAGGTCTCTCATCAGATGATCTCCAGATTGGTTCTCTATTATCTCTTGTATCTAAAAGTCCGTCTAAGCCACGACCTCCATGAGCATAATCAATAACTTCCGGTCTCTCAATCGGATATCGATCATGTCTATCATTAAATCGATCATCAGTACCAGAATAATCATTAGGACCTAAATTTCTAAATCTATCATCACCTCTGGGAAGATTCCTATCATCACCTCTGGGAAGATTCCTATCATCACCTCTGGGAAGATTTCTATCGTCACCTCTAGGATGAAATGGTCCTCTTAAATCATGAAAATCATCATGAAATTCTAAACAAAATTAAAAATATTAACGCTTCAAACAAAAATTAAAAAAATATATTAATACAATAAAATATGTTAAAGAATAATCAATATTCACATATCACAATTCAACAAACTAAACAACTATATATAGGTGTGTATACATTTTTATGTATAAAGGTTTTAGTTTTTTAAATATTAATAATATCTTAAAAAAGTCAATAGAGTTTTTTTAGTTAGAATAGAGTTCATTTACTAGATTTTCTTTTTCATATATGTATCATTTTTATTAAAATTTTTATTGCTTTTCTTTTTGCGCACATATATTGCAATTATCAGGTAACCAATAAAGTTCATGCGGATTTGCAGGTCCATAAATAAATACACAAAAAAACAGTTTTAATAAAGTTCATTCTGAAAAATAGTCTCCTTCAGCAAGAATGACTTTCTACAATCGTGAAACAAGCTTGTATATTCTATTTTTATAAAAGTCTTTGGGAGCTAAAAAATTGATTTAATTCATTTTCGAGATCTTCTCTATTTTGAAACTGTTGATTCCTCATATGATTATCCAGGGCCAAAAACAGGTGGTAGTTACTTGGGGCAAGGTCTGGTAAATACGGAGGGTGAGTTGTCCTGGTGGAATACAACACCTTTTCTGTTTGCTAAAGCTGCTTGTTTTTGGCGAAGAGCAACCGAAACTCTGTCCGATCAGGCTGAGTATATCTCAGCACTAATGGTTTGTCCACTTGGTAGCAACTCATAATAAACGATACCTGCTGTAGTCCACCATACACATAGTAAAACCTTTTGTTGGTGAATACTTGGTTTAGGAGTCATTGGTACTAGATTGCTACTGGCTAACCAATAATATGTTTGTTTTTTGTAGCAGTACATAATCCATTTTTCGTCGCACGCAACATCCGGTCAAAAAATGGTACTAGATATTGGCGGGAAAGCAATGAAGAACAGATGGTTAGGTGCTGTAGTCTGTTTGTTTCACTCAACTCTTAAGGTACCGATTTGCTCAACTTCCAACGTTTGTAAAAATTTCCAAAATGTGAACGAATAGTTTCATCACTCACATTAAATCTAAAGGCAAGGTCTTTACATAATTGGCTGGAATCCTGCTTGATTGCCAGCTTGATATCCTCGTTGTTGACGGTGGATGGTCTTCCAGATATTGGTCCATCTTCAAGGTTTTCATTTTCAGAAGAAAATTTTTTGAACCACATTTGACCCGCCCGTTCTGCTATGGTACCTTCCCCAAAAACAGTGTATATCTTACGACAAGCTTCTGCAGCTTTGGTGACAAGTTTAAACTCATAAAGTAAACAGGCGCGTATTATCGCATTTGATTCAGCCATACTCAACTTAAGATAAAAAACACTAATAAATCTTATGAAACACACTGATTGATTCTACTTAAAACAAGTTTCAATTAATAAACAAAATTATCTCCCTACCACAACCATTATCTTATAATTATTTTGCTAGAAAATAGGAATTAGGAATAACCGCACAAACTTTATTAGTTACCTGATAATAATAACGTAGTTTTTTTTTTTTTTAACTGTACTTGCCCTAGGCTGAGAGGAACACTAAGATGAGGAGGGATGAGGAGTTAGTTTGAACTTTTTTTTTTATATCAGATTTCAAAACTCATCACATATGGATCAAATAAGAAATCATGGATCAATATTAATATCCTATTAATACAATACCCAATTGAGGAATATTATGCCTAATATATCCTATAAGATATATATATTATAGGATATTGATAATGTATTATCCAATTTATACACTATCAATATTCTATTAATTGCAATATAAAAATCACAAATTATCTAGATTTGGTTTTGAATTTATTTTAAAATTCATTCTAATCTTACTGTTAACATGATAACAAGATAAGTTATGTAGATGCTGATTCAAACCATTTATCTACCATAAAATTTTTTAACAAAATATCTACTAGATTATCAGCCATATCATCAAAAATTTTTTAATAATTCTATCTCACTTTATGAAGTTGCATTAAAAGCTGCAATCAGAATTCACCTACAAGCTAGCATACAAACTAAGGATAAAACCAGTTCCGAAAAACTGGTTAAGTGCATGCCAAAAACCCATGCCAATGATAAACCAAAAAGTTATTTTATGCATTAACATAAAATAAAAAACAAATTTCTATTATCAAAAGATTATTTAAATAAAATTCTAATTGTGGTCGCTTGCAACCTTGTTGGAAGTGAAGGTGTGTATGTATGTATGTAATATATATATATATATATATATATATATATATATATATATATATATATATATATATATACACGCACTCAGTGTATATATTAAATTTGTATAAATTGATTTTTTGGCTTGAAAAACGCTAATAGTTTAAGCTTGAAGCAAAATAATATTTAATTCTGATAAAAAAAAAGATTTAATATAAAACTAATTTAATAAAAATGATTTTATTTATATTGAAAAAAAATATATTTAAGTTTACTAAAATAAAAGTCAATGCTTGGGTTAACTTAACTGTCAAATTTATTTAGAAATATTACTCAAGTATTGTTCAATATTCAAACTTTACTTATATTAATTTTATATATATATATATATATATATATATATATATATATATATATATATATATACATATACATATATATATATACATACATATATATATATATATATATATATATACATACACACCTTCACTTCCAACAAGGTTGCAAGCAACCACAATTAGAGGTGGAAATTACCAGAAGAGAAACCATTTTAACCAGACAACTTAAAAGATTGAAACAAATAACAAACATCTTAAAAAAATTGCAAATTAAAGAAATCAGGAAAACAAAATGAAGAAAGTGAATTCCAAAAAACCAATGTTTAAGGAAAAAAACAAGGCAAATAAGAAATTTTGGAGCACTTAGGAATGGTCACAGTAAAAAGGATGAGATTGATTGACAAGTAACATAATGAATTTTAGTAGATGGCACAAGAGACGCTAACTTTTTAGAGCAGTACCCATTATAGTATTTATAAAAAAGAGAAAGAGAAGCAACATTACGACAATGTGATAATGGTTAGAGATTCACTGCAAGACCAGGACTACAACAGCTCTAGAGAACTTATCTGCAAGACTATAACAAGGATGTTGTCCGGAACACAAGCTATAAAAGATTCAAAGCAGGAAATTACTTTAGATGCAGAAGCTGGAGTGATAGGAATGTCAAGTAATGGATCAACCTGTTTGTCAGCTACATCAGGTAGAACACGACTAGTGGAACTAAAAGTTGATATTGATGTGAAGTTCTTCGCAAACAATTAAGCTTTGCCTTTAGGTGAGGTAAAAAAAATCTGAACCATGCAATAGAGGAGGAATAATAGATTTAAACTTATTATAGACACTGTTAAAGATTCATAAGTCTCTGGAGCCTAAATTTTGAGATAAAATACAAGCTTTTCTGACCTGAGAATAGCAGACTTTGGCATTAGACAAACTTTTATACAAAAGTTTCTAGTAATAGTAAACAGATGTCTATTTTCTGGAGAGTGGTTTTGACGATAGATATTCCACTAATCACATCCTACCTGATATATGTGTGTATATATATATATATATATATATATATATATTATATATATATTATTTATATATATTATATATATATATATATTATATATATATTATTTATATATATTATATATATATATATATATATATATATATATATATATATATATATATATATATATATATATATATATATATATATATATATATATATATATATATATATATATATATATATATATATTATATATATATATTATATATATATATATATATATATATATATAAATAATGAACGGAAATTGCAGTAACACAATGTAAACCACAGCAAAGTTGACTTGAAATTGTCGAAAATAATAAGTAATAAAACTCTAAATTAGCCTGAATATGTTGTTAGTGACGTTAATGAGCATTAACATCACTTACAACAACAGTATTGGCTGAAGGATAAAGAGAAAGGGCTTGATCAATTTGATCTGAAATAGCATTGAAAAGAGTGCAGTTTTGAGATAAACAGTGCTCGAAAAAGCGGCCGATTAATGATAAATTACTTTTGGAAAAAAATTATACTTTGATCTTCAAAAACCAATTCTGGACAATCAAATTTGATTGGCAAGAATTTGAATTTTTAATATAAAGTCAAACTTTATATTAAAAATTCAAAAACATTCCAAAACAGCTATCACAAAAACATTAAAAAAGACAAATGTAAAACATTGACAAAAATGTTAACAGTAAATCATTGCTTAAAAAAAGATGTCAGAAAATTATTTCTTTTTTTAAAGGAAACCAGAATCTGAAACACCCGCTAAGAATATTGTAAATGTTTTCAATAGAAACTTAAAATTACAAAAAGCAAAGTGGAAAGATTCTACCCTTGCATAATATAAGGCTAACAATTTTCTTGAAATAGAGTGTTGATGGAATAGTTAATGTGCTAAAATGCAGAGTACGCCAAGCGTATGCTTCTTAAATCCAGATTTTAAAAGGGTACAAGCCAGAATGGAGTGGTAGAAAAGGATGCAGTCGATTGCAACACAGTTCTGCAACTATACACACAAAAGGAATGTGCACCAGAAAGTTTTTGAATCATTAATGAAAACAAAAGGTATAAGTTTGTGCGATAAAATTAAAAGAAAAAAAAAACAACAAAAAAAAAATAATCAAGAAGTGCGGCAAACAGACATTTTATCCGGTATTCAAACCATGCAGAGTAAAGATCTTATTTGAAAAGAAATTCGAGGTTGCAAAACTTTATAGCAAAAGAAGAACTGTTGTTGTAACTGTTGTAACTGTTGTTGTTTGTATCTACAATTAATTCAATTACAAGAGAAATATGGTGTAGCCTTTGGTCAAACTTACAAGAACGCAAATACTTGCGGAACATTTATCTACTACACTGTTTTGAGCTCAGTGAAAGATCTTTAAAAAAAAC